TTGAAGGTCACGGTCACTTCGCTCCACTGCGTCAACCTGTTTTGATTCGGGCTGGCAAACTCTTAGCGGTCAGCCTCTGCAAGGACACTTTCAATCATCACCATTTAGGGCCACCCTAAACTAAAACGCTTCCCAGCGACGCCATGACTTTGTCCTCCAGCATGCGGCGCTTCTGCACAATGGCCTCCCTCGAAACATTGGAATGAAACACGGGAGCCAAAACCAGAAGGGCTGCATTTGGGTTCACATCGAGGCATGAAGCTGCAGCATCCAAGCACTCATGCACGGTCTCGCTGCCTCAGGCAAGGTCTGACTGAAAACTGCGCCAAATTGCGAACTGCTGAATTTCCCTGCCAACACCAATCTGAGCAATGAGCGAGAAGGCCAGCAAGTGACATCCAAAACAAGGAGGACTGTCCTTGGGAGCAGCTTTTAAACCAAGGGCGCCTTGCCATTTAGCAACACACACACAAAAAAAAAACACGCGCATCTTGCAACTTTTGACTTCCTAAACAAGGCCATTCCCAACAACACAGCGCAGCTAAGTCAATCAAGTTTCCCTTGCGTCCCGCTGCCGCACTTCTGCTGGAAGCGAAGTGTTTCAGATGGTGCCCGGCTCTCATGTCATCCAATTCAGCAAAGGAAATGTGCGCGTTCATGTACTCAGCGACACTCTGCTTGCCTTTCTCAAAGCGAGCCTCCAAGAATTTTCGGTCCAGATGTCCTTCACGGTTCGCCTTGTCCTGAGCATCAGATGCCCATTGCGTCATCATCTTGATGTCATTCTGGATCTTCACTGCTACCTGTTTAGCAGTGCTGCTAGCCACTTCAGCCTGCAACCTGATTGATCATCGCACGAGAATCAGAACAAGCCAGATAAAAACCAAACACAAGTTTGGCCAAAGCACGTCTCCAATTCCTTCTCTTTGGCTTCATCAACCTTTGATGAAACGGAAGGAAACTTTCTGCAACCAGGTTGAAAGACGATCACCTTTGGCGATTGAGCTTACAACGTTTCGAAGTGCTGCCAAACGACGGTACGCCGGTATCTGAACAAAGCAGATCGAAAAATCGGGATCCCTTCCAAGTTGACGGGAGGCACACTGTGTTCCAAGGTGTGCTGCAAGTCAATGTCCGAGTGCTTTGCCAGAAACCTTGAAACTCCATCAAAAAAGCGCAGGAACATACAAGCCAACACCTTAAACAAAGACAAGCGCGTTTGTCGTGGTCAAAACTTATGCCAGCCGGCGCTTTCATCAACGCACTCTCCTCACGGCGCGCAAACTCTTCTGGAACCTGGCTCTTGAAGGCTGACATGGCGGCTAAGAACACGCCGCAGTACCGTTGAACTACTTCCTCAGCGCGGCGCGCGGCCGCGAATAGAAGCAATCTGACTTGGCGAAAAGGCGCTCAACACAATGACAAGAAGAACTCGCAAAGTAAAAAGGATTGGTAACTTTCAATGAGATGCAACTTCCTTGGCACCCCATGGGCGCCTCATTTTGACTTGGAGGCTCAAATATTCCGTGGCCATGCGCTCAACAAGCAAAGTGGTCAACTCAAGGTTATTCTGAAACACACTGTCCCACTGAGAGAAAGCTCCCAGCGCAGTGTTGTACGACAAGCTGAAAAGACCCATGCTGATTGCTTCATGGGTGATGTACCTCCCCATTGAAAATCTCCTAAGCTGGGCAGAAACCAATCACAGAACCTCACTCTAAGTATACTCACGTAAAACCAACCTATTATCTAAGCTGCACCACCATTTTGTGGAGCTTGTCGATGACGGTTGGGTGGACATCCTGCAATAGGGCAAGGGCCGCCTTTGCCTCAAACTTCCCACAGTCGTAAGCCGTTTGAACTTCTGCCACATCTTGCCACTCCTGACAGAGTGTACTGAAACAGCCGTGTTAGGGGCCGTCTAAGTTTGAGTGGCCAAGTCTGGCAATCAGGTTACAACGCGTTCCTTCTCAAATGTGGAACCCTGATCTTTCAGCAAACGAAGTTGAAAATAGAGGTTGAAGCAATTCGGTCGTCGCCGTGTACTCGTGGAGCTGAGCGTTAAGCCTGCCAAGGCCCGCTCTTCAACTTTCCAACAAAATATCTAAAGATTCTTTTTGATAAAACATGCAACGGGCTCACCTCTGTTCTGCGCTACCAAAGAAGCAAGCCCGTCACATGCTGCCACAGCACCGTGTGACATCGCAAATGACCTTATAAAAACAGAACTGATGGCGAGGAAATGACACTGATTGACTCATACTACTCTCTCCCGCTCTCTCTCTCTCTCTCTCTGTCTCTCTCTCTCCCCTTTTTCTTTCTCTTGCGTTGCACTCCACTGACCGGGCATCGAGCTCTCTGACATGCGACGGCAGGCCCTGTCAAACATCAGCGAAATCGAAAACAAGGCAACAAACAACGCAACATTGTCCCCCGACCAGGCCTTGTAGAAATCTTCGTTTTGCCAGCAACACACCATCACCATGTGCGCTGCCACGCAGCGCGACCAGCCCTTGACCAGCATGATGCCCAATGGCCTGACCAAGTCCTCTTCATCGGCTACTTCTTTTGTAGCAAAAACAGGAATATCGCTCATGACACCGCTCGTTGGCTTGCTGATCGTAAGCTTCTCCGTCCCGCCAATGTTGGGGTCCGTACAAAACCTGCACAGAACAAGAACCCAAAAACGACCCAGCACGCAACCACGATCTCAGGCGTTGGCCCAGCTGTGACAATGAGACCGGCCAGGGTGTGAAGAACGTCCTGGGCGCAACGCCCGGGCCAGAAGCAGTCTCGAACAAACATCCCCCTTCACTCTAAACACTAAACCGAGCCCTCTACGGGCTCGACGTACCCACGTAGCCCCGCACTTGTCTGAAATGGGAGATGCCAAGGTCTCAAATAGACCCCGCTGCCTGTCTTGTCCATGTCAGAAGGACGGGCAAATTGCCTCGACACGGGTCAAAGCCAGCAAACAATCCTGTAGTCTCACAAACTTAGCAGGTTTTAAGCTACAGCCCCGACGTATCTTTTGGCTGCGGAAAGGCGGTGTCTGTGAACCGCAAGTAGGCCAGCAATTTCGCCTGGGTTCAAAGAAAGCTCAAAGCTACGGGCCTCATTAAACTTGTGAGAAAAAAAGCGCCTCATCTTCGAAAATGCTCGTCAGAAATGAGTGAGCGGTCTCATGCTTCTGAAGGACACTGTCCCTCAGTGAATGGAGCGTCGCATGGGGCTTGAGCAAAAAAACACTAAGGTCAAAGCCACCAGCCGTCGAAGATCTTCTTTGACGCAATGACTTCAGGAAGTAGAGCTTTCGCGTGGTAGGTGCCCGGTGTGGCCACAGCGGCCACCGTGTCAGCAATAGCTTTGGTCTTCTTACCGGAACCTTTTCCTTCCTCGGACTTCCGCTTACGGCTTGCCATGGTAGAAAGGTAAGCCTACTACACCTCAAAACCAAAGCCTGCGTCTCAAAAAGGCGCTCGAACAGAGCGGCTCATGACCGCTGGCAACACTTTTCGACGGGCAAAACTCCACACAACTATCGAAAGTGCCTGAGCGGATGCCGCTGTGAAAAGAAGCCGAGCGGAGACCGCTGTGAAAACAAGGAATCATAGCATCTGCACTGAACAGTTGATTCGCTAACGATGCAAAAAAAAAGCATCCGTCTCTCTCTAGGTTCATCAAAAAGTGTGCCATGTCCATTTTGGTTGGGGCGTCAAGATGGACCCCTGCAAGTCCCCTTAATTGTGACCTCTTCCTTTATTTTAAGTCGGAAAGCACTTACGGGGTCAGTTGTATAACCGTACAGGGGTTTATATGGCTGCTTGTTCAATTTGGAAAGTGTTAGGCTTTTGTGTAACTTAACGTTTAAAGGCTCAAGGTTTTTAAACAGCTTAAAGGTTGCTTTTGCGATGAATGTCATGTCGCTCACAAATATCACAAAACCGTTGTGACGGGGGAGGGGCGCCATCATTGCTGCTAGTAGTAAAATTACAACACATGACTTACCTGGTTTCAGCCTGGATGCGCTCTTCTGTGAATGACATTCATCACAAAAGCATCGCTCAAGATGAACTCATTTTTGTTTTTTGCCATATATAGTTTAGGGTTTAGGGTTTAGGGCTTAATTGATTTCATCCTGAGGGTTGCTTTTGTGATGAATGTCAAAAACATTCATCACAAAAGCATCGTTCAGGATGAGCTCTCCTTAATTTTTTTGTGGGTTGAAAAAGGAACTACACTCTCGCAATTTTTTTGACACATAGTTTAGGGTTTAGGGTTTGGGGTTTAGGGTTTAGGGTTCAATTGATTTCATCCTGAAGGTTGCTTTTGTGATGAATGTCAATCACATTCATCACAAAAGCATCGTTCAGGATGAGCTCTCCTTATTTTTTTGTGGATTGAAAAAGGAACTACACTCTCGCAATTTGTTTGGCGCATAGTTTAGGGTTTAGGGTTTAGGGTTTAATTGATTTCATCCTGAAGGTTGTTTTTGTGATGAATGTCATTCACAATCATCACAAAAACATCGTTCAAGATGAAATCTCCCTATATTATTTTTTGGCGGTTTGAAAGAGTAACTAAACTCTCGCGAATTTTTGGCCACATAGTTTAGGGTTTAGGGTTTAGGATTGCTTTAACTTTGCAACAAAACTGTTCAGAGCTACGCGCTGTCAAGAAACTGCCCCACAGTAGACGCTTATGGTTGGTGATGAAAGTGAACCCAGATCATCACAGAACCAATCCGTGACACAGCGTGACAGCAAGAGTCAGGCCTCAAACACTCAAATTCCGTTCGTCCACCCACCCAAACATTGGTTTCCTGATGAACGCCAGTCACTATCATCACAGACAGAGTCCTAGTTTAGCTTCACGCGCCTCTGATGATTTCTTCCTGATTTACAAACCTTCCTTTCTGCCTTCCATTTCTTTCTGAGCGTTAAAAATACCGTACGGTGATTAGAGATATGGCCTGCAATGTCAGTAAGCGCTAATTTTTTTCAGCCATCAACCTCAGCGCCAAACGCCGACTCTGCAAGCGCCAGCGCGTTTGGCCAGCTCATGAGCCCCCTTGCCCACACCTGGGCTGCAATTCGATATTTGTGATGATCTGCCCAATTTCTTTCGAAGGAGGCCAGCGCACGAGGCGCCAGCTGCTGGCGCGCAAGCCTCATTGCATTTGGAGCCTTGGATTGAATTGCAAAAGGGACTGACCCTGTTCCAAGGGCAAAACCACATCCAAAATTGATGTGGAACCACAGCCACGAGCAAGCGGTCTATTCCTTCAATGATTCAATTCTTATATTGGGAGATATTGGGAGCACAGCAAAACTAGATCAAAAAGAATGGTGGGTCGGGGAAAAGGTTGCGGTCAGTCTAGGGGCTGGATTGAGGTCCTGGGCTGGGTCAGGAGGCGCAGCAACTCCATGGCCGACACTTGGCCCGCGTGCAAACATCCTCACTGTCCATCAAGAAGGTCTTAACTTCAATTGTCACAAGTCTAGAATATCACCAAGGTTGCAAATCGCAAAAAAAGCAGCAAAATCTTATATAACTCGTCTTTTTTTGGAATGATACCCTAACTAAATTGGCAATCTACATCGGCCCCCTTGCCCCCAAAATGGAGCCCCAAAACAAATGGTTCAGCTGCCTTGAATCCATAGAACCATTATGAGGAGCCCTGTTTTGGAGCGTTAGCAAAACGGTCCCACAAACTACACAGGATTGCAAAGAAATAGATGGCACAGCCATCAGCACTGGGTTGGAGACGAGTCTCGATCCAATTGGCAACAGTGGCTCAAGGAGCCAATTTCGATCCCGTAGCCTCTCTAACTGTTCAGCTGCCTCGTTCAAGTTGTATGGCTCCGCTCCTGATGGCAAGCAATAATGCAAATGACACTATCTACTTCCGCTCACCTTGGAACAGAACAAAACAGCCCGCATCCAAAAGCCGAGGTTTCAATAAAAAGCCTAAACTACGCGGGTGTCTTCCAACAAAGTGAAGAGGCTGCAACTAAACTTCCACGTGGATTGGGTCATGAAATTCTGACCCCCACAAGTCTTGTTGGCCCCCTCCAGGATACTTGTTTTTTGCAATTAGTGTTGGACTTGCGGAGGTCAGATTTCATGGCCCCGGCCAAGGTGGAAATAAATTATGTGGGTCTCTTATTGGTAGCCCTTCACTGGATATAATCCGAGCGTCTCATTCTCTCGATGTATTTCGTCAAATTTGCAGGGTCGGTGACGCAATCATCGTCTTTGAAGGCTGGCGGCTCGCAGACAACTTAGTAGGAACAATGATGTAAACTCACGTCTGTGTTTGGACATCAGGAGAACCAGGTGGGGGACGGGCGCTACAGCCCCTAATTTGTGGGTACGATGCCTGCTTCAAATCGTCACACTGTTGCCAATGTATGTATCGAAGTTCGAACTTATCATAACCAGCACCTGGCGCCTGGCGCATTCATAAACTTCGTTGAAACCCACCTTCCAACCCAAGACGATTCCTGGCAATCTGCGTTTGCAGCCCAAACGCCTTCTGGCACCAACTGAGAAGCATCTGTGACAAGGGCAGCAGGCGCGTGCAGGATAGTCACCGGCTTGTAGGTCTCGTCCGACATATACTGCTTGAACCTTGGCAGCGCACAGGACACATGCGGTCGTCAAAGAAAAACCCGATCTAACAACCCACCGACTCATGCGTCCTGATGTCCCAAGGCTTGTCACCCCAAAACACGCTGCAAGTGCAAACTTTCCACTTGGCTTGGTCCATGGAATCTGGAACCAATACTTTCGAAAGTAGGCCAAACAATCTGGCCCCTCAACTTCCGGTTGGCCCTTCCAAGTTTTGGTTTATGGCGATTGATGTGGGACTTGACTTGAGGGGGCCAGATTTCATGGCCCAAACCAAGGTGGGAAGTTGCCAGCTGAAATGCGCGGAGGAACCGAACCACAACATCTCCAGCCGATAGCGGCACCCGTGCCCGCAGCCAAAAACGATCATCAATGGAAGAGCGATCAATGCCTCCTCAGAATAAAACAATCAAGATACAGTAGTCCTTTCTTTTTCTTCCAAGCGTGGTTGCCTCTGCTGCATTGCGTGTCAAAACAAAGCTGCGTGCATTTTGGTGTGATCAGTGAAAAAACCAAGACCTAACACTCCTGGTCAATGCCAAAACAAATCGCTCCTATGTCTTCAAGCCTGTCAAACCGATATGTGTGCGGTGCCCCTGGCCCACCGCATCCAACAAGCTGGTTGTTGTGGAACAGCAATTGTAAGTGCTCTCGCCTCGCATCGCGCAAACCCAACAAACAGCCGAACCAGTTCAATGGAAGTTGAACGGATTGTTAAAGTTAGTAAACTCGATGGCTTGGTGAACATTTGCGAGCTCAAACTTATTGACCCGTTCTACATCGTCTCGCAAGCACCGTTCAAACCAGGCCCTGGTTCCAGCCCTTTATTGAGTTTGATGGGATGAATAAAGCCGGTCGTAATAGCAAAGCGATGACCATGTTCAAATGGAGTTTCCAAGCTCTGGTCTGATCGACCTTGATGCAAAACTTGTCCGGCTCATGTGGTCTGCTCTCTGGCCGGTTCACCCACGCGTTGATGTCCCTCACATAAGCTGCTGGTGTTTCCAGCGTTCTTTGTGTGGTTAGGTGAGAGGTCAGCTGAGAAAACCATTGGTCCCAGTCTTCATGACTGTGACCCGACTCCAAAAACATCAATGACCCACACCGTATTCTTTTTGTCAAAACTAATCCGGACAAGAGCCTCATCAGGCCGTTGTTCTTCATTTCCTTTGATGCGTTGTCACCAATCAAAACCACCTCCGTCTCGCGGAGGTTGAGTGAAGGATTCTGGCTCAATCGGTGGAGCATGTGTGAGATGCACTCGATGGTGTAAGCAGAGTCTTTTTGTACAAACATGTCACTCACAAAAAGTCCGGCTGCCCAGCCGTGGGCGATGCAACCTGTGACACTTAGCGTCGGCCTCAAAAACTTGGCAAAGTCCTTAGCGGACATACATTCATGGCGTGGCCAAGCAAATTTGGCGCGCTCCATAGAATCCAACGCTATCACGAGCTGCCGCGTTGAGTCATGCTGAGGGCCCATCCTCGACAAAGATCGCAAGCTCCAGTATATGGTCCTGTCAGCGTACTGCCGGCGCAGGTGCAGGTGGTATAACTGCACCTGCAAGCGGCGGGCGCCAGGGTCCTTCTTCAATTTTCGGATGAACAACTTATACTTGATGCACGTTGCGCATTTCTTGTGCTGGGAGCCATGTCGAATCACAAGTCGCCTGGCGAAACTCTCCTCCCATACCTAACTGGCATCTTGAAGCCGAACAACATCTTATATAAATAACAACAAAAGCTACACTACCAGGAAAAATGCTCACTGTGCCAACGGTACTCGATCGAACACCTTCCTGCTTATGGTCAGACCGGGGTTCTGCGTTTGGCACATCTCATGGTATTCGTGAATGGTTCCAGGTGGCAGGACTCTCATCTGGGATAAATCTGAGAAATCATCCTGTTTGATTCTCGCGCGGGGGCGACGCCCTCGTTTCTTTTGCCGTTTGGAAGCAGGGTCCTCCTCATTCTTGCCCAATGTCAGAGCAGAGTTATTGCCTGTCATCTCTGGCAACGGCTCAGCCAGTTTGTGATATATCTCAGTCAAGAATTCAGCGACCGCTGCTCTGGCAGGGCAAGGCGGGTTCCTAACAGCACAACCACTATGATCACAGCCACCACAACAAAAATACATCTCAATGACACACCTTCAAGCCTATAGCGCTTAGCGCCACCTGTATCACCCCACATTTTGAAGCCAAGCGTCTCATGCTCTTTGGGAACAAATCTGTTGTCTCCAGGGCACTCTTCTCCAAGTCGAGCTGCAGTATTCAACTTTTCAAACCGCTGCTTTCCCACGCCCAGGAGAAGGCGAAATCCATGCCGGCAAACTTCGCGCCCATTCAAAACCAAAGGAGCTTGTCCATGTCCCTGCTCATAATGCTCTCTCAGGGTTCCAAAAACCTGCCAACGCAGGTCTCTTTCACCCAAACCACTTGGCAAGCATGCGTTAAGATTTCCTGAGAATTTTAAACCAAACTAGGGCTGGAAGAAAGAATCGACCCAGTGCGCACAGGATGGCCTCCTCGTCCGCCTGAAGTTTGTCCATCTTCAGCAAGCGGACTCTCTGCCTAAGCATGCTTTCAAAGCACGCCGTATCATCTTTGAACGGCTTGCGGCATTGCGTTTTGCAGCTGCACCGCTGCGCAACCGCCTGTCTTAACCTCGAGGCCGCTTGCTCCAGCGCGGAGTCAGACTTCGCAGTCAAGCTGTCTCGGCTCTTTCGTTTTCTCTTGTTCTTGGTCACCCTTTGAGGAGGTACTACAACGTCCCCGCCCCTAGCATCATCATCTGACAGCGCAACCAGCGCACCCGCGGGGACTTCATATTCATCATCAGAGAGCTGGCCTACTTGGTCCATCTTCAGTCATGGCACGATCAGGCTTCTTTGGTTACCAAAGGTGCGCACCCATATCTACAAACACACGTTTGAATTGGCTCGACTTCAAAGGGCACCGGTTTGAGCCACACTGACGCACACGTGAGGCAATCAACAGAAACTGTATCCAACAGCAGAAGCAGGTCGAAATTTATAAGCAACAATCTTGCTGCGTTTACATGTTTTGCCGCTGCTAGGGGAATCTGATCGCGTTCAAGGCCAGAGGGCCTGACCTAAACTGAAAGCAAACGCAACAAGCTGTCATCACGCTGCGCGCATTGAAAGCATACCGCTGCACACTGAGCATCTACAAACATCGCCTTGCACGAGGTCATCAGCACCGTGAGCTCCATCAAATCAGCCCGATCGCCAGCTCTTTCATATCGGTCGATCATTCCAACAATTTCACTGATTGCATTTGCCCCTCCATGCAAATCTGCTATCAGACTTGCAAAGGTAGATGGCCTGGAAGCATAGTAGTCTTGGAACAACTTAAATAGCGAACGCTCGCAAGGATCGACTGGACATCCAACGACTGGCCATTCAGCGTAATGAATGTCGGCGCCTTTGCTCGAACGAGCAGTGGTGAAGACCAACCAAACCTCCTGCGCGACAACAAAGTGCCTCGAGCGATGCCCAGCCATGATAGCACACAACCGCCAACAAGCTTCTCTCACAACCTCCATTGGCCCATGCAAGAAATCCTCAAGCGCCGCCTCGGACAGCGAAGCTTCCAACAACTCCATCATCATGACAGCAGAAGCACGCCAAGCCATTTTTACGTCAATTTGTTCTTTGTTTTTTGGTTTGGTTCCAAAAGCTGCACAATTGGGAGCTGAACAAAATCAAGGCTGGGTGCCCCTGTGCAAACGTATCACTTCTGGTTCGTTTGCAACGCGCTTGCTTTGCTGGCTTTCTAGGCAGCCATGTTCCAAACCTACACAGCGCAAGCTTCTAGCAGAACCGCTCGGCTTATATACACATGCCACCACTGCTCTCACACAGAAACAAGTCCAGAGCGGCGCGCAGCCGCTGTGTTAAAAAACATCTTTTTGAGACTGGGCACGGCGCTCAACTTAATATGAGCTCAAAAACATTCGCCGATTGCGACTGTCATTGAACAGCCCTGGCGAGCAACCACTGCAGAATGAAAGCCCTCATGGTTTGGAAAGCTTTGACTTGGAAAACGATTTGGCAGTGGCTGGGCGCTTGCAAGCTGCCTTGGGAGCGGCCTTCGATTTGGCGGCCTTGGCCGCCTTGGCGGCCCTGGCAACCTGGTACTGGTAGAAGTCATTCTCTGGTTCACTGGCACTTGGCGGATCCTGGCCAGTAAAGGCAACACTCACAGACTTGGGCATGAGCTTTGAAGTTTCGGCCGCAGTATGGCCATGAATGGTGAACAAATACTTGGTATCATCACGCTTCATCGCACTGCGCACTGCATCCTCCAAGACATCAAGGAGCATCGCCTCAGCACCCCACTTGAACCTGTAGTCGGAACCATCTTGGCCAATTCCGTGAACATGTAGAAGTGACCCCTTCTTGGTCTTCGACTTCAACTTGAGCTCAACACTGAAGACTTGGTCGACTGACCATGGCAACTCCACCACCACCCTGTGCTTCGAGCCTTCTCCAATGATGCGATTCCCCTTCATTTCAGTGACGTCAAACCGGTTGTAACTGCCCCTGTTGTCCGTCAGGTTCAGGTAGAAGCTCATTTGACACAGCTGCAAGCGTGAGACCTGTTTGGTCGCCAGAGTGTGCCAACACAAATCCCTCTCCTCAACCATGACGTTAGATGTTGCATCGAGCATGGCCCAGCGACATGGAACCTGACCGTGGAGCATAATGACAACGCGTTCTTTTTGCGCGAGCACGTGTTCTTGTTTGTGCCCAGAAGTACTGCAAAATGTCTATATAAACAAAGTCTACATGCAGCAAACTTGCAAGCAGCCGACTTGCATAACCATGCAGCGAACACAATGTCACATGTTTCAGATCGAAAGAAATGGTTTTGGCCAGCCAAGGCCAGCAATGGCACTTCCTTCGTCCTGGGACAGCATGACGAATCTATACAAAGGAAGCGGCGCTGGGCCGCTGCGTTTATCATTAGAACAAAAACATTCACAATTAGTTCTGATAGTTGCCCATCTCCCAGCGCCGTCCCAACCCCATTGTGCACCGAATTGGCGTCAAGCCGCACGTGGCCACTGGCTGAGCAAGAGGAATTTAATTTTTGGTGACATTGATCAACTGATCTTCAACCCTTCATATATTGCTAAAGTTATGAAGGATCAAAATACTACCCCAACAAATGCTCTTGCCCCACTTCCACGCACGCTGCTCAAACAACCTTGCGAAGAATCAAAGGCTTAGTCAGAGCCGCTGCTGTCATCATCAAAGGGCTGTCGCCGTACCAAGACCCCCCGGCACCTCAACTGTCGGCGAACTTCTGCAGCCAGCTTGTGCGCCTTCTGGTTGGCCTTTGTTTGCAAAAAAGCGTGTGGTAAACTTTGAAGTCGTCTGACTTCCGCATTGACATAAAAAAGTCTGTAGTGTTCACTGGCTTTGTTCATGCCCGGTCACTGTATGCATCAGATAGTAATACTTCGCTTCTAGCCCTGGAGTAGACATAGATTGAAGAAGCTGCCTTTGCTTCATCGTTGGCGTTTGCGCCGGTAAATTTGGCATCAGGAAAATCTCCTGATAAGGTTGTCCTGCTACCCCTCTTGAAAATTGATTTGAACCCAAAAACGCTATCATACCATACCGTTATTTTCCACTCAACAACAAAACTCATTCAAAACAATCCATTTGCTACGACCAAGTAGCTAAATCAGCCAAAAGACCTTCTGACCAAACAACACTGCTGCATGTTTTAAAAGCAAATCACCCCTCCTGTAACAAGATATCTGAAACATCCAGGCAAGCAGAGCGGCTCAAGGCCGCTATTATGACTAGGCCTACGAACATCGAACAAACATCCTCAATGGGCACAATTCGATAGTAGCAGAGCGTCTCAAGGCCGCTATGACTATAGGTCTCACGAACATCAAACAAAGGGCACAGTTCGATAGTAGCAGAGCGTCTCAAGGCCGCTATGACTATAGGTCTACGAACATCAAACAAAGGGCACAGTTCGATAGTAGCAGAGCGTCTCAAGGCCGCTATGACTATAGGTCTACGAACATCAAACAAACATGCTCAATGGTCACGGTTCGATAGTAGCAGAGCGTCTCAAGGCCGCTATGACTTTGTCCCCGAAATCAAACCAACATGTGAAATTCATTTTTCAGACTGCAGCAGGAGGCGGTGGAGGTGGAGGAAAACCGCGATTCCCACTCCATTTACTGTAATACGCCGCGTGTTCTCCTCCACGCTTGCGCTTGAAACCCTTTTCGGCAAACTCCAAGCTCCTTTTGGAACCTGGAATCCCCACATGCTTTCGTGGTGGAGGGCCTGAAACTGAAGATTTCGCTATTGGCGTTGGTTCTGCCACTGGTGCTTGTGGAGGCGGCGGACCAACTGCACTGGCACTCTTACTCGTGGCGCCAGGGACTGGCTCACTCGTTGGGGTTGCTCTGCTTGACAAAGCCATGGCCACACGGGCTGCAAAAGGTATGACTGGAAGCACTAAGGGAGCAGCAACAGCCTCCAGCAAAACAACATCTTTGTTCAACTGTCCTGTGAGCCGTATGGCTTGGCTTTAAACACAAAACCATCGTGTGGAGTGGTCAGGCCTTCCCTTCTGCTCTCCTCCAGGGAGGCAATGTAGTATCCGCTGTTGCCTCAAGACAAGTCAATGAAGCTCGTCAATACCTGCTGAATGATTTGCCACGACTGTTAGATTTATTGCGAAAGTGCCTGCGGTCCACCATCTTCGCTCACAGGAGATTCGACCTCCAACAAGCCAGCCGGTTCCTGAAACATTCTGAAACCGAAACATCCTACACAACGCAGTCTGCAAATAGATTTTTAACACAGGCAGCGAACCTCCTTGGCAGGGTCAGTGGAGGAGGCTGTTGTCAAAGGTGGTGAAGATGCATCACCATTCATGCGCCCATTTGGCTGCTGCTCCGAACGAGGCGGTCAACACCCTAGTTTCAGAAGGCCCTGAATTTTAAGCACTAGGCCCTAGGCTGTGCCTTGCAGCTTGGCCCCCCTACTATATATATATACGTTGTTTTTAATCACATATACATATACATGTATACACTATATACAACATATATATATATACGCAGTATATTTATGTATGTATATATGGCAGGTTGCTGGTGCCAAGCGCGGCACCGAAAATGACGGCGCGAATGCAAAAACGACAGCTCAAGTCGCCACAAAACTCAAGTCCAAAGTTCCAGAAAGACGACAAAAATACACGTCCCAACTCAGAGCGGCGCAAAGCCGCTACAAAGAACAGAATCAAACCACACGACTTGGGACACTAACTGGCGGGCTATTTGACCTTGATGACTTTGCTGTTCATTTAGCAATGGCAGTCTGATGCCTTTAGAGCGGGTTTCACAACCAAGTTCCAGAAAAACAACAAAAGTTCACAAGGCATGGAAAGCATAGGCAGGTTGTAGCTTATCATTCGCGAAGCATGGAGAACATGGAGTAGCGTCGCAAGGCATGGAGAAGTGCAAGTCCTGGATGCATAAGCAAGTCCCGGTTAGCTGGAAAAAGCCTTAGTTACTGAGGAGAGCACTAGGAACTTTGGTCAGCATATAGCGGGGAGACAGCAGATTCCACCCTGTGCGGGACATGGCAACTCGTAGCCCGGAGGTCAGCCACTGAGCTACTACTGTGCTTTCTGCTTGGATGTTCCCTTGCTCAAAATTGCCGAGCGCCGTTGCTAGCCTAGTGTAACCTATGCCGAAACGTCCGTATCCCTTGGCAAAGGCATAGTTGGGTTCTGCTGCCATGTCCTCATCCTCAGTAGCTTCCTCAGTGCCAGCTTCTGGTGGTTCAGCAAGCCCCAC